TTCTGCCATTTTAGTATGTAGCTCTAGCTCAAAATATTTTCATTATTAAAATGTATTGCAGTCTTTCTCAAATTCTGACATTTACAGCCAGATGCTTAGATCATCATTTACAAAATGAGTTATTTGGGCAAGGCAGACAGATGGAAATGGAACAATGAGACTGTTTCTGAATATGAATGAACACAATTCCCACTACTAAGCAAAACCCCTAAATTTATTTTCTTTCTAAATGTATTTCCAATAAGACTACATCCCCACTCGCTGTTTGGAAAAACTTCTCTGGCATAGACAGGAAGATCAAACTTTGGGCTAGTTTGTTAGAACTTCTGTTGGTTCGTGGTAGAGAGAGCAGGCTTGGGCCTTTCTGTCTCATACACATACCCAGATCAGATTGGGGACATCATTCTCTAAGCCCATAATAGCCCAAGGATTGCCAAGAAATTCCTCAAATCTCTGGCTATCCACAGAAGACAGGAACATTTGCACAGATTGCCAGTACTTTTTTGTGCTACCCCAGAGCCCTCTTTAATGCTGGTAGAGTGTGCGTCCCTTTTTCCCCCCAATTTGTTTCTTGGATCTCCCCACCTTCAGGGTGTTTCACAGCATAAAACCACTTTATGCTTATGTGAGTGAGCATCATCTTAACAAAGGGAATGCCACACCTGTTTCAAGGGAGATGATGTACTAGAGGACAGCCTGTCCTCCTTCCTGTCCCAATACCGTGGAACTTAAGGAACAGGATTCTGTTAGAAGTCAGTGGTCCTGTTTCCCTATTGCCTTGCACCTTGTGTCTTCACTTACCAAGTGAATACAAACAGGCCATGAAACTCTACTAAATGAGAACTTTCCATTTACTGACACCGGTGATAGTTTTCTTATGTCTGTTCTATGCTTGCTCTGCACACAAGTATATAAGAGAAAAAGGTGTAGCATACTGGAGATTCATATCTAGAGATGGACAGAACATACACCTAGAATCCATCACCCTCTCTGACATAGAAATCTCTCCCATTGAATAGAAATTCTGCAGTGTATCAACCTTCCAGGACATACATCTGAGAGCATGATTTGACTCTGGTTTTGCAGGCAGCAATAGGTTCCACTTGCTTTTGGAAGTTATCAAAACATGAAACAAATTTCATATAGCAGTTATGTAAACTTTATTTAGGGCTTACTTTACGATATTTACTTCCTCAGTGAATTAGTATCTGAGACAAGAAGAAAGCTGTACCGTGCAACAGCTAACCCCCAATCTTCTCAGTGCATTAATATACTCTATTTCCGCATAAAAGTGGATACTGTAGGATTAAATGTACTATAACTGTACTATTTGTATTCTGGCATTTCTTTGTTGGATGATGATTTATGTTGTCCACATGGGAATCACAAGGGAGTCACAATGTTTGCACTCTTGGGATGAGAAGGCGGGGGAGACTGTCAATCTAATATACCTATAAAACCTAAATAATTCCATTCTTATATACCACTAGGATAGCCAAGCATTATAAACAACCTAATCTTGTTACCAGAAAATCTTCTTTTAAAATGTGCTTAGATTTATTACACCATTTGTTTCACTATGAACCATGCAGTAGCAATCTTTGTACTTTATATGAATGCACTATGCTGCTTGATAGCTGTTAAAATCCTGTGATAATGAATGAGACTTCTCAAGCTGAAACATTTATAGACTTCAGCTGAAGTATTGTTTTATTTTTACATGAAGAGACTGATTTCTTTTTTCTTTTCTTGCTTGCATTTTTTTTTAAGAGTTCTATCCCTTAAAGCTATTGACCTACAATTTTGGGGCACACTCTTCTTGCACACGCCTTTTTAATCCTTCAAAACTATTGCCTGGCACTATATGACTTGCAACCTATAGCTAGCTCCTTACCAGTGAAAGAGCAAGGCCTAAACAGTTTTGAATGTCTGTACCATATTTATAGGTCCAGTAATGCCTTCAACACCAGAGAACCTCTTCTTTCCCCAGCAAAGTAATTTCTCAACATGTGTGACTTGATATGAATAAGTCACACCCATGTTGAACAGCTATTCTGTTAATCCCAACAAAGTCAAGGAGTCTGCTTTCAGAGCAGAATAAGGCGCCATGTAATGCATCACCTTATTTGAGAATCATAAGTGACAAATGCTAGTCATATCACTTGGGCTATCTCTGCCTAAGTGAAGATTGTTACTGCCATGATTGATCTTCTGGAGTTTGATTTAGCGGGTCTAGCTAACACATATTAACTTGAAGTCAGAGGGTGCCCCTGCTGGCTGCTGGTACTTCTGCTAGTGGAAGGAATAAGGGAAGTCAGTGGAAGTGTTTGCGCCCATTGGCCTCCTGCTATGGGGACGATGGGGAAATGCAAAACAAGGTACATCAACTCCAGCTATGTAATTAACACAGCTGGAATTGAGTATCTTCATTTGACCTTCCCTATGAGTGTAAACCTAACCTTAATGTACTCCTGGATGAGACTCAGAGGCTACAGGGAGGCGGGCAGCATGAGAATAGAATAGAATAAAATAGAAGTAGCAGAAAATTACTCTAAATTACTCCTGCTCCTCAGGATATGATATGATATGATATGATCCTGTTGCCAACAACATCATGCATGTATACAGTAAATGGTGCACACTAGTAAATGTCAGGTGTTTATTTTAAATTGTGGAGATGCTTTGAAACCTTATCACTAGTGTAGTGATCCCTGTGGAAGTTTACCAGGATGAATATTGATAAAAATCCTGAGTCTTTCAACTGTCACTGCCCAATCAAGACAGAAAACCCTGGTTAGGGAGAGTTCAAGATCAAACTGAAGTAGAAGAGAGAGGAGTTGGGCATTATTGTACTCAGATTCCACTGCAAGTAGTGCATACATTACACATTTTTGATGATTATTCAGTTTAATTATGGTCTTGCATCCCCAGTGTTTCATTACAAAGCAATAAATTGCATTATCTCGTAATGACAAGTCCAGCGGTTTAACCTTCAGTAGTAGGATAGTTCTCGTACTTAACACCACCTGGCAATTACTCTAGTGCTTCGTTTCTGCTTGGAGAAAGAATGGGACTCTAAGCAATATTATGACTTGTCCTAAGGTCTTCCTTCTTTCCAAGAATGCAATCGTAAAACAATATGGGGATGCATCATGCCCTCAGATTTTTTTAAGCAGAATTTTCTATCAATGTCAATGCTTGGGATCAGATTATACTTTCAGATTTCATTGTTATCATCAAGCTGTTTTTCAGATCAAGGTATCAGATAGACAGTGATATGTAGGGAATTCAAATGTAGGCCCTGGTCCTTTAAACATTGAAGACATGAATAATTTTGCTCATTTAAGTAGTTCTATATACTCAATCACGTGAATAAGTATTTTCAATTTTTGGCCCTTTTGATTTTATGGGGTTATTAACACAATATGATTTTATTAAGGGCAGATTCATAGCCACAGTCTGATACAGTTTAAATTTTAAAAACATTTGCCATGCCACACATTTTTTATATGCTGGAAAGTTTATTTTGAATCTCATTATGCAGATGTGAAAAACAGTGATGGCTGTACAGCATATCAAGCAGTGCTTCTGCTTATTTTCTCTTCAATTCATTGTACTAGAGTCAAATACTATGTATTGTAAAAATTCACTTGTTCTGAAAATATGAATATTTTCATCAACTGTTTTTTTCAATAGATAATTGCTAATAATTTATAGCTTAATTTTTAAAATTGTATGAAGGAATGATGAAACTAAGGAATGTTGTCAGACATAACTGTTGCTTTGTTTCTGAGAAAATGATCACAATGAATCAATGACTAATCGATATAGATGCTTATAAGAAAGCGTGAAATAGGTATGTTTCTGATCAGGTGCTATACCATTTGTGATGATATGGGCCAGACTGATCACCTGTTTTTAAGAATCAGGAAGGAATTTGTCTCAGAGGATTAAATTCCTCCGTTGTTTGGTGGGATGTATCGTTCTCTTTGCAGCCTGCTGGAGGCAGGATTGGGTTGGAAACAGGAGGGCTATCTCTAGACTACACTTCTCTGTTGACAGAGAGATGTAGATGAGGCACATTGAAATTGCTAATGAAGCAGGGTTTTAAATATCCCATGCTTCATTAGCATAAACATGGCTGCTGCTTTTTTTCGAAACAGAGCTTTTTCGAAAAAAGGTAATCTAAATGCAGATCTGTCGAAAAATAAACCCTTTTCAAAAGATCCTGTAAACCTCATTTTTTGAGGAATACAAGATCTTTTGAAAAAGGGTTTATTTTTTGACAAAGCCACGTCTAGACTGCCAATTTTTTTGAAAAAGCTCTGTTTTGAAAAAAAGCGGCAGCCATGTTTATGCTAATGAAGCACGGGATATTTAAATCCCTGCTTCATTAGCAATTCCAATGTGCCTCATCTACATCTCTCTGTCAACAGAGAGGTGTGGTCTAGATGTACCCTAGGATTCAAAGCTCAAATAATGTTATTGCAACAGCTTACTTGTTGGAATTTGTAGCCAGTGTCCATTGTGGATAAAGGCTTAAAAGAGCCAGCTCTCAGAGGTAAATGAGACCTGGCATTTTATTGCTGGATCTTGATCATGTGGGGAGGAGTAGCCTGAAGTATTTGAATAATGAGGTGGATGCCCTCAATTTTGGTATTATGCTTGATTATGTGTGTGGTAGGTGAGGCCAAGTCTATGTTGTAGGCCAGGAGGGTCTAACCAGAGCTGTTGTTTGGTTTGTGGTTAAAGACTTATAAACAATTAAATCCCTGGTATGTAGAACTAGGGATGACTGTGGTAGTCCCCCTCCGTAAAGTGATATTTATACACTTGTAGCTAGTTGTTTAAGCCCATTCCATGTGGCAAATAAAACATGGAAAATCAGGCTCCTAATTTCTAGTAAAGCAAATGAATTACAAAATAGTCTTGGAAAAATTATTGTCTTAAACTATTATTTTGTCAATTTTTGTTTCATTACTCCATTCCTTTCCTTTCAGCAATGGTAATTCTAAGCAATCTGGAACCAAACACAACGTATGAAATCAAGGTTGCAGCTGTAAATGGAAAAGGACAAGGAGAATACAGCAAAATTGAGATCTTTCAGACTCTACCCGTTCGTAAGTAATGCCTTTGTTTTTAATTGAAAACTTGATTTGTCATTCTATTTTATCTCTAATTCAGCTCATAATTTCAAAAATGATTCACTGTGAGTAAAATGCATGCTTTATACTACTGAATACTTCTAGATTATGATGTTACCTGACATCTCATTTTCAGGTCATTCGAATGACCCTAAATTAGACAATATCTTTAATTATTCATAGTTATCCGAACATTAGAAACATCTCCATTTTTGTATATCTAGGAGAATATAACATTAAAGCATCTGATCTCATTGACCTCTGGACTTCCAATACTCCAGTCATCTGAAGTGGGTTGTGCCCACGGAAGCTCATACCATCTACAGTAAAACTCCATTAGTCTGGCATCTAATGCTCTGGGACTCCTGATGGTCTGGCACCATCAGGAACCTGGAAGTGCTGGGGCAGCCGGACAGGCTTCCCCCATTCAGCTGCTGCCGAAACTGACC